GGGTCCACAGAAGTGAAGTGCTCAAATACACCCACTGAATCAGAATTAGATGTAACTGTAAGAAATGGAGACTCAAAGTATAGTGGGTTAAGTGACATAGAAATTTGATTTTCTCTCACATGAAAGTCTGAAAGTAGTCTTTCTATCCCACTAAATTTTCAGGGACCAAGATTTCTTCCAGCTCACCACTCTGCCACCTCTATGATCGAGCTCTTATCCCCCTGGTCTAAGATGGGAGCTAGAGCACCAGCAATCACATATACATTCTAGGCAGCAGGGAACAAAGAATGAACTGCCTTAAGATTTCTGAGAGTTGCCATATAACCCTTTGACTTCCATGTCACTGACCAGGTCTTAGTCACATAGCCACACCTAGGTGCAAGGTAGGCAGAGAAATGTGGTATGTTAGGCAGCCATTACTATGGAGAAAGGGAAAATGGATATTATGGGGCAATTAATGGTCTCTGCTATAATCATCATGAGGCAGAACCAGGACAGGAACCCAGGATTCATAACCCCGGCCTGGGGTCCTATCACCTATCCACACAAAAGCAAGGCTGAAATGAACATAAACTCATCTCCAAAAACAAATAGGAAGTAACATTTGTTGAGAAACTCATTTAATTTTCCCAATGATGCTTCCCAGGTACGTAGATCCCTCATTTTGCATATAAAGAAGTTCTGGGAGGTTATGCAGTTTGTCCAAGGCCACTCAGCTAGTAAGTGACAGATCCAGGATTGGGACCCAGGTGTAGCTTCCTGCAACACCACATTGGCAGCTCACTGGCAGCCTCTGTGGTTCAGGAGATGCCAGATGATCCCCCGAGACCACCTGGAAACCCTCGAACTAGGCGTCCTTCACTTGTATTATTATCAGGCCACCTGGGAGCTTGGCAGCCCAGCAGGAAACAGGTTCCTCTGTGAAATCGGAGCCCACCCAACTGGTGAGCACCAGGTCATCTCTGGCATTTGTGCTTTGGCAATGGTGGCAGCTGCCACTCCAGGCTTTGGCGCAATTGGCAGGTGCCGCCCCCACCCCATCTTGCTTTTCTGCCTGGTGGGGCTGGTAGTGCCTCTCCCCATCCGTCACCCCAGCCCCCGGTTCTCCTGGCAGTATCACAGGACTCAGAGTCTGCGGAAGTAACATTTCTCTCTCCCACTCCCAGTCATGACATTGGATCGATTCCCAACACAGAGCAACTGGTTCCGTGTGTCCTCCATACATCCCCTACACATGCCCACTTGATGACCCAGGTCCCTGGGCACTCCGTGTGTGACCTTCAGCTGCCTCCACCTTCATAAACACCCTTCCCCCAGCTTCCCTTCCCACCCACCTACCTTGTGTAGCTCTGAGCAATGGGCCCCTCCATGGAGCCTGCCACATGCAAGGTCATTAGCATCCTGCCAAGTAGGGGGAAGGGGTGACTCAGTTCCCGCTTGCTCATCCTGGGGAAGGAGAATGGGAGGTGGGGAGAAAGGAGGGAGGAGGGACCCAGACACCATTCACTTTTGCCTTAAGCTTCAATAAGAAGACTCAGCATTGCTGCCAGTTGGCCTACAATTTATTCTCCTTTACTGGCAACACAGACTGCTAGGAAGAACCACCCCGTTAGAGACTGCAACAGCCAAGGCCAAGACAACACCTTTGTGCAAAGCTGAAGGGCTGAGGCAGCCTCCAGGTGTTCTGACCCTTAGAAAAGAATGAACATTCCCCTCTTCCTCCATATTACAGCTCTTGCCCTCGGGGAGATTCCAATCCCTGAGGGAGGCACAGGACCTAGCCTCAGGGGCTACCCTGTCTGATGAGGGAGGCACAGATGCTGGCCTCAAGGAATTTCCCAGTCTGATGGGCAGCTCCCCAGCTGGGTGGCTGAGGGAACAGGACTACAGACCCAGAATCTGGTGGATAAACAATCTGAGGAGACTCCAGATTGCCCTAAAGGGCAGTGGCTGGCAAGGCTACAGGGCTGGGGTGAAGGTCGGACCTAGACTTTCTCTCTGGGGGAGGAGATAGGCTCCTTCTAGAGAAATCTGATCCCTTGTGAGGGCTTGAGTAACAACAGTGGGAAGGCAGAGAGCCAAAAGCACTACGTGATGACCTGGGGATCCCCAGGGAATGCAGCAGAAATTGCTTACCAAGGGCAGCAGGGTTGGTGTCCTCTTAGCCAGAGGCAGTTGGATAGACCCCTTACACTTGTAAGGACGAAGGGGCACAGGAAATTTCTGGCAAGGGCAAGAATTGCAGAGACTGGAAGGCTATTCCAAAGAATGACACTTTGGGAGGAAATACGTTCACCAGATCCTAGCTGAGAGAGTTACTAAGGAAGGCAGGAAAGGAGGGCTGAGCTGCAGAGTGTATATGGATGAAATGAAGTTATTAAAATGAACCTACCCCTGCGCAGACAGAACTCTGTGCCAGGCAGGCCTGGCTCTCCAGCTGTTGGAAGCATCTGGCTCTCCATGGGAGGACAAGAGCGGGTGCGGGTGGGTCAGAGTGTCCCCCCAGGTCCTGCTGACAGTTCATCCAGGACAGATGAGGCAGGGGCTGGGGCCACCAGCGCTGCTGCAGCTCCTCTTCCTCCAGTGCCCACGGAGCCGTGGGAGATGCTCCTGGCTGATGGCTGGTGGGTGTCCACAGGTGGAGGGAAACTGGATTCCAGCAGCCCCAAGCACCATGGCAGGGCCTAAGCCCCTGGACCTCTTAGCTCAAAGCACTCATCCCCAGGGTGGGCAGGGAGAGAGCAGCATGGAGGACAGGGTGTCCCAAACGTCTGCTTGGGAGAGAGAGCTTTAGGAAGCATGGTACAGGGAAGAACAGCTGGAACGGGGTGAGCTCAAGCACCTCACCTTTCCTGGGGCACTTCACACAATGTAGGGCTGTAGCACGGTGGCTTCTAAAACCCTGCCGCTGGTCTGCAGGAGCTGCAGTGTGTGAGGGGAAATGAGTCCACATTGAAGCCGATGGGCTAGGGCTGGTGAGACCACCTTATTGTCATGCTAGGACATCTGACTGCTAACCAGAAGGTCAGCAGTTCAAACTCATCTGCTCCAGGAGGAAGATGAGGCAATCTACTTCTGTAAACATTTACAGCCTTGGAAACCCAACAGGGCAGTTCTACTCTGTCCTACAAAGTCACTATGAGTTGGAATCAACTCAGTGGCAGTGGATATGGTTTGGCTTGGAATCTTTACTGGAGCAGATCACCAAGTCTTTCTCCCACAGAGCCACCGGGTGGGTTTGAACCGCCAACCTTTCAGTTAGCAGCTGAGCACTTAACCATTGTGCTACCAGGGTTTCTTTTGTAAAGATTACAGCCTTGGAAACCCTATAGGACAGTTCTACTCTGCCCCATAGGGTCACTATGAGTCGGAATTGACTCCATGGCAGTGGTTTTGGTTTGGACTAGGCAAAGAAGAGACCCAGTGGTGCAGTGCTGTTCGAACCTATTAGCTGCTCCGCAGGAGAAAGAGTAAAGATTACAGCCTTAGAAATCCTATGGGGTAGGTTCCATCTACTCTGTCCTGTATTGTCACTATAAGTCAGACTCAATAGCAAGGGGTTTTCAGAACTAGGCAAGCCCTTTATTTCGTGGAGGACGAAACTTAGAGGGACCCAGAGAAAAGGACTTGCCCAAGGCCACCTAGCAAAATGACAGAGCTTAGAACACCCAGGTCTCCCATCTCTAGACACTGCCCACATCAAGGCCAACCAGAATGGTAATTCATGGAAGCCAACAAAAAACACCCTTATTTGGCCCATTCCTCCTGCTAGCAGATGCCACCCTAGCCCCTACTCAGGCCAAACTATGTTCACTTGGCTTTTCTAGGGCTGGAGCTGATAGCCAGGGAAGGGGACTGGAGAGGGAACCCGAGGCTTTCAGTGAGCACAGCTGTGACAGCTATTGTGGCCCCGAGGCTCTGGTTTCCAGGAGCCATCCCCTTGCCTGCTGAGAAATGCTGGCTGCACTGGGAATTCGTGGGCGGGCCCTTTCCCCTGGACAACTCAAGACTCTAATGCCCCAGGAAAGCTTTATTCCCCACTCCAAGAACAAGATTCTGCAAATAGACATAGACAATCAAGGCAATATCACAAGACCTCCCCTCCCCTCCCCCCGCCCACAGACAGACACTACAAAACAGATGCCACACCTTCCCACAGTCCTGCTTACCCAGCCCCAAGCTTCTGAGGGCCCCATGGGAAGAGGGAAGGCCACACCCTATCATGGGGGAGCCCCCAATCTGATGGGCAAAGCTGACTGTTGAAAGACCACTCACTGGGACAAGGAAGCTCCCAAAGGAGCCAGCACGGGGTAGGGTCAGGAAGGGACACGTGACTCCCTTGTGGGCTTCCATGTGTGGCCTCTGGTGCTGGGAGGATCACGATTGCCCTCTGTCTCAACTCAAGGACTGGTGTCCCCTCAGCAAGAGGCTGAGCGGGAGTGGGGAGCACTTGCAGAAGAGGGAATTTTGGAGAGGGGTGGTGGGGCCAGAGGCTGATGTTCTGTTTGTCAAGACATCAAAGACCTTGCATCAACCTCATGCTGTGCTAGTCCACTGCTCAAGGACTGCCCACTGGACTGGCCTGGAGAGTTCTTCTCTCCTCCCCCGCCAACCCTGACTCTCAGGAATCTCACTTTCAGCCATTCTCAGTTGTCCCCTTGGATTCTACATTGATGAAGGGCCCCCTCTCCTTATTGCTGTCCTTTCTCAGGATGGCAGGGAAGAAGCCAAGGTTTTAGGCTCTGCTCCATGACTAGCTGGGGCTACACTAGTCTTCTTGCCCCAGGGGCCTCCTGGGACCAGTGTCTTCCTGATACTCAGTGTGGAAAACCCTGGAAAGCGGCTGCCCTGCTCTCGGCTCTCCAGCACCTCCATGCAGGTTAGGGCCAGCATGTAGGACCCCTTCCCTGCCACTTGAGGCTTGGCCCTGGCCCCACTGGCATTTCCTCCTCTCCATCCCCCTCCCTGCCCAGTGTCCACATAGATGGCCCCCTGCCTGGGCAGGCCTGACCTCCAGCCCTGGCCTGGCCTCTGTGGCCTGCCCAGGGTCACCCAGAGGGGTAGTAGGGGGTGTCGCTATGGTAGTTGTAATCTGGGCACACCTTCTGCACCAGCCGATAGTCTGTGCTATAGAAGGCGATATAGACGCAGACGACTTTGAAGGGTTGGGAGCAGCTCCAGGTGGCTGAGCTCTGGGCATGGTCTCGGGAGCACGTCTTGGCTGGGTCATGGGTGCAAAGTGAGGTCCGGCGGCCCCGTTCAACCTTCTCCCACTCCATTCGGCAGTTGAAGATCTTGGAGGCCTTGGCTTCAATGAAGATCTGCTGCTCCTGGTGGAATTCCACAGCCTTGCTTGGGGGCACGAGGCTGATGGAGATGTTGCCCTGGCCTGTGGCGTTGTGTCGGAAGTAGACACTGAAGGTACCGTTGCCATGGTCCACGATCTTCCCCGTGACGAGCAGGTTCAGGGCTACTGTCTTGATGTTGGAGTAGAAGTCTCCCCAGCCAAAGATTTTCTTCACCTTGGCTGAGGGTGGGCTATGGTTTGGGTGATTGGGGGGCTTCCCAAGGACCCCCCATGACTCCCCAGGTGGAGCCAGCAGCCCTAGGAGGGTGGAGTTGGCCACAGGGCGGGACTTAGGCGAGATGTGGCCCCGCTTCCGAGGCATCCGAGGCCGGGGCTGACTCTCCCGGTCATCATGCTCAGGGTCCTCTGAGCCTGGGGGACCATCATCCTGCCCACAGATGACCTATGGAAGGAGTTGGGAGGAGAATGAGAGCCTTGTCCCCAGGGACCCAGGTGTTCTGCTCCATGCTCCCCATCACCAGTATCATTGCTGTCCCTGTCCCTTCCACTCTGATTTTGCACTGAGGAGGCCCACTTATGTTGGGGATCGGACATGTACTCTAGTTCCTTTCATGGTCATTTCTCATGTTCTGACAAGGTCATCCCTACCTCCTCTCCCTACTATCCTACCTCTGTTCAAAGTCTATATTCTCCAGTAGATGGCTGCACCAAAAGTATTGGTTCCTAACCCCAGGGTGGGTTCCTAACCATCAGTCTAAATGGGGTAGGCCCAGCTTCTGATCTAGGGAGGACTATCATTTGATGGCAGAAACATCATCTCTGAGCTGAGAGAGCCCCAATCTGGTATGAGAGGCAGAGTCCTTGCCTGTGTGAAATTCTCAGGCTGATGGAAGAGGCGCAGTCTCTGCCCTTAAAAAGCCCTGAGTCAGTAGAGGAGCTCCATCCCCATCCGGGGAGAGCCCACAGTTTGACAGGAGAGGTACAATCACCACCTTTGGGGACTTCCTAGTTTGGTGACAGAGACATCACCCTACCCTACGTTAGCTTCTACCTTCAGACGCAAAGAGAATCCAAGGACAGTGGACCAAGTGAACCTAGTGAGATTCTCTTTCAAGTACAAACACAGTTTAGGTTTTGGCAGGAGGACTAGGGGGAGACATGGAGTGGTTTCCACACCCAGGATGGTGGAGAGTATGGAAAGCCAAACAGCTGTCTAGGGAACATTGGTGATGACATGTCAACACTTCACTTGCACTAGGAAGTAGGAGTTCTTATCTTTCCCATTTTGCAGATGAGGGCACCAGGAACTCAAAGTTTATATCACTCTGATGTTAAGATCAGAAAGGGACTGAGTCAGCCATCCCATTACACAGCACATTTGCAAGCCTGATGTGTTCTTTGAAAGGGGTTTTACCTGAGCCCTATCCCCACCTAGGATCTCCTTGCTGAGGCTTCCCCTGCCTCTGCTGGGCCAGCTATGGCCACAGGTCACATCTCTGGAGGCTTCCTGGAGGAGCTGTGAGAAGAACCTCAGGCCAGCCTGACCCAGCTCAACCACGTGGGCTCTGGAGGCCATCAGGGAGTTGACATGGTTTCCACGCAGCACCCATTGTATGTTTGCTCAGCTTCTGAAAGACAGGACTCACCCTATATGTCCGTGTTACCAACACCAGGGACACCAGGGGCACCAGCGCACAGCTGGGCAGTGTCTGGATCTGTTGGTCACCCCAGGGTGAGGGTGGGAGAAAGCCTGATGGGCTGGGGTCTGAGGGGCTCCAAAGGAGCTTTGAGTCCTCATGTCCCCTGTTCCGAGCCTGGCCATGTCTTCAGATGCCTGTCATGGCCATCATGCCCGTCACACTCAAGGCTGGCCTGCCTACCAGGCCCCAGGGTTGAGTGGAGTACAGGGCAGCCAGGAGGGGAGGCTCCTGGGGCTGGGCTCAGGGCTCTAGACCTGTGTGCAGTTGGCCCTGGGGGTCCCAGCTGCATGGCTGGGGGATAGAAAGGGCCCATCAGTGGGGACGTGAAAAGGGACGGTTCCTGAACACAGTGAACTAAGGGTGAAGGCAAAGGGGAATGTTGTTTAGAGAAGGTGCAGATCCAAATGTAGAGCTGGGCGTAGGACCAGATGACAGGATTGTGTGTGCGTGTGTGGTGGGGGCCGCTGGGTCAGAGGAGAGTTAAGCCCTGGGCCGGGGTCAGGGCTGGGGTGCCCTGGCGTCCTGGCCGCCGGGAGCGAGAGCTCGGGGAACTGGCTCAGGGCGCTCCGCTCAGCTGCCGCGAGCGCCTGGGGCGGGAGCCGCCTGCTCGGGTCCTGTGGGGCTCGGGCTGCGCGCAGCCAGGAGAGGAGAGGAAAACAACAGGCGGGGAGGGAGGAACAGGAGGGAAGGCGGGAGCTAGGGACGTGGGGCCGCCCCCCGCTTGGACCAGCTCCGCGCGCTGGGGGACCCAGGGCCAAGGCCCTCTGGGTCCTCGAGGGCAGCTGAAAGGCCCACTCCCCCCTGACCCTGCAGGTCACCAGCTCCACAACCCACCCCCCTTCCGCGTGTCCCAGGTGCCGGGCAGGCGTTGGGTAACCCTTGGCGACCCGTCTCCCAGTCTTTTCCCTAGAGCTGGTCTCACCTCCCGCCACCAGCCGCGGAGTGGGTGGGCCAGCCAAGCACCCTCTCCCCGCCCCTATTAACCCTTCTGGTCCAGTCTCCGGCCTTGGATCCGCCCTCTACCCCGGCCTCCAGTTTCCCCTTCCAACCCCAGGATGTTGGGGGGAAGGAGAAAGTTTCTGGGCACGGAAGCTTCCCGACCTCTCCCCCAATCCTCAGGGTCCGCGCCCCTGGGCCGGCTCCCCGCAGACCACTCACCAGATACAGGCTGCCCTGCACTAGGAACACGAAGCAGCAGCGAGTCAGTTGCATTTTCTTCTCTGCTCTCGTCCCCTTTTTTCGCCTCTTTTCCTTTCGGGGTTCCAGGCCCCCTCTTCACCCCTGCTCCTTCAGGCGCGCTGTCCCATGCACTGGGCCCCCGCGCCTCGAGGCCCTCCCCTTTGCTAATCGCCCAGGACCGACCCCGCCCCCTTCGGTCCAGCTGTGTAGCCACCTCCCCCCAGCTCTGGTCCAGCTGCGCGCGGCGTGGCTCCCGCCCGAGGTCCCAGATGTGCACCCTGAGCGCCTCGAAGGGCCACAGCTGCGCGCTGGCTCAGCCGCTCCTGATATGCGCTCGGCGCCCCCCTCGGCTCCAGCTGCGCCGCTCTCGCCCAGATGTGCTGGGGACCCGCGCGCGTGCCCGTCCCTGGTGCTAATTCCCCAGGCCAGACGGCCCCTCCCGCCCCTTCGTGGCGCGCCCCCTGGCGGACGCCCCTGGCCGCGCTGAGCCCTGGCCACCCGCTCTCCGCGCAGCGCCCCGCCAGACTGGAGCGCTCCTGGCGCCCAGGCGGCTCCAGCTTCCTCGTCCCTCCTACCCGCGGCGGCGGCGGCGGCGGCGGCGGCGGCAGGTACTGTGAGCCCAAACGGTACCTCCGGAATTAACTCCTTCCTTGCCGGCCCGCAGCCCGGGGGACCTGAGACACTCGCTCTCCAGCTGGAAGGGGGTAGGGTGCGGGGGCGGAATAACTCTCTTGAGGACGAAGAGAGATGATGATGGTCAGGGGATAGGGACGCTACCTTTTCCACCCCTCTGGCAGGGCATCTATTCCCTCGGAGCCGAGCCGCCGATGTGCTGTGCTGCCCTCCCCCTTCCCCAGGAAGCCTGGAATTTAGAAAGGTCATTTTTCTCAAACCCATTCTAATAGCAGAACAAAGATGTCTTCCTTATTGTCAAAGTAGCTTATCAGCACAGCCTAAAGGCCACTCTCTCCCTCCTAGACTTGCTCCTGTTTTGAGGGAAGTTCTTCTGTGTGTCTAGCCTGCAGTCCTTTTGCTGTAATGTCAGTTCCCCTCCTCTTCTCCCTTACTCCGAGGGGCTATGGGTAATCCCTTAGCTTTCTCAGTCCAATCGTTGTGACAAGAAGCTTTTGACTTTTTTCAGCTTCTCCTCTCCACTCTGGGGCTCTGGGTGGAAAAGCCTGCCAGTGTCCAGGCAGGACTCTGGGGTTGAGACAAGGAATAAGCTTCCTGAGAAGCTGGGAAGGGGTGGGCAAGGCCTCCCTGGAGGCTGCCCCTCCAGTCTTCACTCCTCCCTGTGGCCCAGCAGTCAGCCAGGCTGGGAGATGAGGCTCCTCTCCCATTGGGGTCTCTGCAGACTTCCGGGACAGGGAGAAAGAACAAGGTCCTGACCTTAGATCACCAAAGGTGAGCCTGTCCCCATCACCAGAACTCCCTATCTCAGGTCTCCCTGCAATTCCAGGGCCTCTTTTAGTCTTAAAAAAAAAAAAAAAAAAAATCAGAGGTCAGGTCCTAACACTCCTTGGAGGCTAGAGAGTGAAAAGTACCCCAGCACTTGGAAGGACCCCCAGCCTGTGCTGGGCCTGTGGGGCGTGGTGGGTGGTCACTTTACTGTGGCCCACCAAAGCCTAACTTGGTCCCTGGCTGCAGCCCCCAGCATGCACCCAGCCTCCTCCCCCACCATCTGCCAGGCGGGTGCGAGGGGAATGCAGATGAATCTTAATATCAGCCTGGGCCAAGTGCAATGAGGGAGACAGATCCTGCAGAAGCCAGACAGCATCACAGAGCCCCCTGCGTTCCCCAGGCACCGTGGGCTGTACCAGGATACAGTGGCCCCTCCATGGTTGCGGAAGGGCGTGCATGCCTGGTCAAGGACCCCCAAAGCCAGGGGAGGACGACGGAACAGGTAAATCCTTGTCTGGCCTTCCAGCCCCTGATTGCCTGAGAGGAAGAAGCTGTCGGCCTGAGTGTGGGCAGCTGGTTCCGGTGCTCAGTGGAGACAGAGGCGGAGCTGGGCCCACTCCTTGTCCATCTCCAGAAGGTGCAGTCCCCTGGAGAGCAGTGCGGCCCAGCCGCAGGACCACAGGCTTTCAGACAGACAGTCCTGGTTTCCACGCCAGCTAGCTGTGTGACCTTGGGCCGGTGGCTGTGGTTCTCTGATGCCAGTTTCCTGTCTGTTGGTGCAAGAACGAAATGAGACAAAATGTGCAAACAAAGTGCAGGCGCGATGGCTGGTAGACAGTCATAGGAGTGCAGTAAATGGAAGTTCTCATTTTCCCACTGCCCACACGTTTGCTCTGGCGGCTTCTCCTGCCAAGCTTGCCCTCACTCCCCCCTTGGTCATTCCCGGCTCTCACTTCCTCCAAGTGCCCCCTCCACACTCATCCATCAGCCACGGGCTGAGCATGGCACCAGGCCAGGGGCTGGGTTACAGAGATGAATGGGACACCATCCCTGCCCTCAAGGACCTGACCGGCCAGTGCAGAACAGCGACAGAAAAATCAATAATTATAACAGGGTGGTGAGTAGAATAACAGATCCTTGTTCAAGCATTGAGGATGCACCAAGGAAGCCGGGTGGGACCAGAGGGTCAGAGGTTCAGAGAGGGCTTGCTGGAGGAGGTGAGGTCAGGTTGCAGGAAGGAGTCAGTCAAATGCTATTCCTGAGGGCACTGAATGATCAAAGGTCTGGAGGCTAGAACTGGAAGCACAGACCTGGGCTGGAATTTGAGGCAGGGACCAGGTAAAGGAAGGTCAAAGGTTGGGACCTTTGTTTATCAAGAACTACTGAAGGCTTTTAAGGGTTTAGGAATTAAGGTCAAATTTGCATTTGTTAAAGCTTTTGGAGAATTCACTAGATATAGGGGATGTTAGAGAGAAGAAAAAGTTCTTACGTGGCACAAATAGCTGGCTCTGAAGCTCTGGTGGCATAGTGCCTAAGGCATCTGACTGCTAACCAGGAGGCTGGTGGTTCAAACCCACCAGCCACTCCTCGGAAGGAAGACTGGGCAATCTACTTTGGTAGAGATACTGCCTCAGAAACCCAAGGAGGGGTCGCTATGAGTCAGGTCCCACAGCAGTGAGGAGGAGGAGGAGGAGGGCTACTCACCTAGAGGTTGGTAGTGGACCCGCCCAGTGATGCTGCAGAAGAAAGGCCTGGTGATCTGCTTCCGTAAAGATCACAGCCAAGAAAACCCTGTGGAGCAGTTCCACTCTGCAACATGGAGGTCACCATGCATCAGAGTCAACTCGATGGCAACAGGTTTTATTTGTTTTCTGGTTTTTTTTCAGAGTGAAGAAGAAAGGGAGGTAACCAGTTAGGGGATAAACATGGTGGCCACGGAGGGAGAAAAAGGAAATCTGTAGACATCCTTAGTATTCTGGTTACCTAGTGCCACTCTCACAGAAACATACCACAATGGGATGGCTTTAACAAACAGGAGATTATTCTTATAATTTGGAGGCTTTAAATCCGAGTTCATGGTGCCAGGCTCTAGGGGCTGGGTGAAAGCCCCTCAGCCTTGGGCGTCAGCTCTGCCTCCAGCTCCCAGCCCACTGGAGCTAGAGGCATTTCTTCACTCAGACAGCTGCTGGCTGCTGAGGATGCCAAGCCCAAGGTTGACAAGTAAAAAGGCACAGTCCCGATGTTACCAAACCACATGGCAGGCCATTACCTTAAGTCCATTGTAAGTCCCAAGGTCGGCAGAGCATGACGGGCTGCTAAACAGTGACACGGCTACATGCAGGGTCCAAGTGTGCCATAGGCTAGAGACCATTCCTAAGGCTTCTCCTTATATATAGGAAGCAGACCACATCCCAAAGGCAGCTACTCAGCTGCTTGTAGTAGGTCCCACCATGGAGTTGATTGCCAGTCTCATCATGGGGAATAACTACCACCAGCTGCCCAGCCACTCAACCAGGCCCAGCCAAGTTGACACACAAACATAACCACCACACTTAGGAAGCAAAATGATCTGGATTTGTCACTGAGGTGAGAGAGGAAGAGAGAAAGAGGAGTCAAGCATGACCCCCAGGTTTCTGGCTTAGGCACCACAGGCAGAGGGGGAAGAATGGGGTTTGGGGAAGGGGGGTTGGGTCCACTTCGGTCACGTCAAGTCTGGGTGCTGTTGGCCATCCAACGGCAGAAAGAACTCTGGCCTAGGGTGCTGTAGGTGTGGAGGGTGCAAGAGCAGCAAGGGGGTTGGGTGCGGGAGCCTCTGGACACCCTGGCTTTAAAGGGTGGGCCGAGGAAGAGACAGACCCCAGGAATCCTGGGGAGGAACAGGCAGCCAGGGGGAGAAGGATGGGTGGGGCTGACTCTGTAAGCAGTGGGGACCTCATGCTTCAGTGTGCCAAGGAGGGTGGGGGTTATTGTACAGTATGCAGGTTCTAGGGTCCTACCTAGAGAGCCTTAGTCCAGAGACAGGAGCCCAGGAATAGGCGTTTATGAGTCCCCCCGCCAGGGGATTCTGATGGCTGCAGCATCTGGATCTCACCTCGATGAACCCTGATGTGGGCGGTGCTGGGAAGGAGGGAATGGTCACCAGGGCAAGGGGTCAGAGAGGCCCTGTCCAGGTAGAGACAGAGACGTAACCTCTGGCTGAGATTCCTCTGGCAACTTTACCAACCTTGATCCCTCCAGCTGTTCCAGGGTGGGAAGACAGACCACAGACGCGTTAAACTCAGTCCTGCACCCAGCTCAGTATAGCCGTGCTGGAGGTGATGGCCAAGGTGTGCCTGTCTGCCATTCAGTCTCACCTCTCTGCATCCTCTCAGCTTCTGCCGCTGTGCCTTGTACCCAAGAGATGCTCAATGAAAGGGACAGAGCCGAATGGACTAGTCCGCCCCCTGCATCCCCAGCCTCTTCTGTGCCCATCTGCACCCTGGCACAGGTGGCTGGGTGTTTGCTTCTTACTTCGCACCTCTGATGTTTTCACTCGCTTCCATCTCACCCTGGGAAGGATTCTGTCTTCCCTCCCTCCCCCTCCCCCCAGGGCTTCGGGGAAAGAAAACAACACAGTGGGCGCCTGATCAGTG